CGGTTATACAAAAATTGTTCGAAGTTCCACAGGTAAAAGAGGCCCACTACTTTACAAATGTGTGTGCTGGTCAGTACAAGAACAAATACAATTTCATTAATTTACGCTACCGCAAAGAACTTTTTCGCCACTTCGCATGATAAGAGTGCTTGTGCTGGTATTAGAGGCATTGTCAAACGACTGGTCACAATAGGAGGATTGCAACGTTTGATCCAAGATAGCATTCTGGCCTCTGCAGCCATGTGTGATTATTGTGCGACGAATATCTTAGGAATTGTTTCTTTCACATCGCACTTGATACGGTTGCTGCCTGCTAAAGGGAATTCAAATTGCGCTGTGAATTGGCGGTCTATAAAAGAAGGCTTGCAGTACCATCGATTTAGCTCTTTGTTATTGACACATCCAGTCTTTCAAACTCAATGGATAGATCATCCCCCTGATTTGGTTGAAATACAAGACCAATGTAATGTAACCTCCATTTTAATATACACTCCACCAAATGTAAAAGAACAGTATTTTGTGTGTTGTCTTTAGAGCAAATTACCATGGATCAGCTTTGTGGTAGAGTTTTCAGAGGAATTTGGTGACCACAATATAATGCAACCTCATGGACCTGCAAGAATTTTTCACCGAAAGATTATCAATTCTAGATTCCTGAATCTGATATACAATTTGTGATAAGTGCTCTTCCAAAAGGAACTACAATATTTACCATGTAAACATTATCAGAATTTTCAGCCTGTGTTCCAAATAGCTTGTTGATAAAGAACCTGTTAGAAAAAGGATTCTGTGGAAATTTTACAATATATTTACATTAAATTGTGCAAAGTTAGACCTTTTTTTTTTTTTTTTTTTTTTTAACCTAATATGGAATGTGCTTAATGTATATAGAAAGTATGATCATGATAGTGGTTGGTATTCTAATTTCTAATTAATAGAAAAGATTACTTCTACAATTTTTTTCATATGTTGTTGGGAACATGGGCTGTAGTTTTCATCAAAGTTACTGCTAGGCCCCAAATTGTCAATTTCAGGGACAAAATATAAGTCTAAAAGGTCATTGATCCTAAAATAGCTCAAAAGATAAAATAAATATATTGTTATTCCCTGTGATTTCCTCTTTACAAGTATACTTAATTTTTGGAAGTCAAAATAGTTACAGAATTATAGGACTTAGAAACTTAGTGCCCAGGACAAAATTAGGAAATTTGGCTATTCTGACAAGGGATTACATATATTAAATTTTTTTATCAAATTTGGATGGGGTAGAATTTTATTAATTGGGTGAACTGACATAGAATGACCCGAATATGCACACCACTTCAACGACCTGTAAACATCTGAAAACATTAAAGTTTGGAATACTGATGAAACTGTTTGATATTATTTTATTGAAGCCAAATTTCACTAATACATAGGATATCAATAATTCTCACCTTGAATATCAATTCTATTTCTTCGAAATAACCGATAGTATTAAGTGGTTTGACAGCCGGATTTGCAGCGTCAAACACTCTGCTCGCCTCAGTACTTGTTTCTACTAAGGAACACTTTTACACCATTAGGAAAGACGTTAATGGGTCAATATCCTTCTCACGGTGACTGTAAAGCTTGGGTAATATTTGTTTGTCATTTTAGCTGTGAAATTTTTCACGTTGGAAATATTGTTGAACATATTTTCGAGGAAATCCTTAATATCTTCCTCGTTTGTGTATGGATGATAACTCGTGATACACTATCTGAGGACGGTCGGCACCTCTGAAAGGTTTTGGCAAGGGGTGTTCCTCCTTTCTTTTCTTCTTTGTTTTCTAGTATTAACGGGACTGTAACCTTCATCAGGTATCCGCTCGTTTTCCGTAGTTGTAAACTAAGAGCTGTTGTGCATGTGGAGTAGGAGAGATAGTAAGGGTAAGTTACTCCAGGCACGTGGTAATATGTTGGATCTTACTAGTGTTGGTTTGGTTCTTGTTCTTCCTTTTACTCTTCCTACCGTAGGTTCTGGAAGTTACTTGTGTAGAAGCTTCGTTCCTCATACCGATTATAGACATCAAAGTATTGGTGGGAAATCGCTTGTATGGCACCAAACATGGGGAGGTTGGCGTGTCAGCAAGGTCGCAAGTTTGCTGGGTCGGAGGTGGAAGGGAAAGAGTGTCAGGGGAAGGGGTAGGGGTAGCAAGGAGAGGCGTTGGTCGTGGGTACTGCTATGGAAGGTGAAGAGGGGATATGGTTGTGTGTGTTCATTTTGTGGTATAGAGGTAAAAAGGGCATCTGGAGCGGGAGGGGAAGGTAAAGAAGTTATATCGTGAGAAGGGGTTGGGATATTGGATGTTGTATGATGGGACGGGGGCGAGTCTGTGGTGACGGATACATCCTTTCCACATTCCTGCGGCTGACGAGGCTAATGAAACTTTTTAGTGCAGATTGTTGGGCAAAGAACATTCGATCAGCAAATCAATTCTATTGCCAATAAGATTTTAAGTGCTGAAGGAGAGTTTCTGCTGTCTCTGTCTTTGTGCTTTTGTTTTTGAAAATCTCACAAAAGGTGTAGTACACCTGCTTTCTTCGGTGACGGAAACCAGTCAGTGGCGGGAGTGTCTATTGTTATTGTAGCAAACACTATAATGTCCTTTTTGAAGCACTGATCGAACATGGTATGTACTATAAAACCTGTCTCCTGTGACCCGAGAGGCTAGTCAGATTTCTCTCTCTAACTATGAAGGATCATAAGATGCCATGATTTGCCAAGCTGTATGGGAAGAAGAAAAAAAAAAGACGTCCTTTCTCATCTCTCAGTCCATTTACAAAAAAAAAAAAAAAAAAAAAAAAAAAAAAAAAAATCTTAGAGTTCTCTTCCGCAGATGCCACGCAAAAATGCTTTTACAGATGCTTTCAGATATGTTGAAAGATGTGCCAGATTCCAAAATTATCCAAAAAATGTCACTTGATATACAGGCAAAGTGTATTACAATAATTGGTAGTGTTAGACAAACAAAGTGAACGATATGCGAAATAACAAATTATATTTGATTATTAATAAGATAAGTGATATAAGCATGTCTCAAATGTGCGCTATATAATGTAAATAGTTAAACTATTTAAAGGAAAGAAAAGGGTATAACAACCAAGCTCCTAGATGTACAATAAATTTATGACATTAAAACTGACAGTTGTGGATCAATAGGGAAGAATTTACTCCAGCTTCTCATGAAATAACTAACTGAAGCTAATGTCCCTCTTGAAAATCTTGTTGGCTTTACATCAAATAATAGATAGTAGTGTAATGGGATGCAACAATTCATTAAATAGCCGCCGTAGAGACAAAGTGCTAAATATTAACATTTAGTGCATAAGCCACTTTCGTCATATGTGTGCATCGAAAGCAGCCAAACCTTAGATTTAGTACGAAATGCATTCATTTCTATCATAGTACAGAGAGAAAGAGTGAATTTGACCGATTCCAAACGGTCTGCGCAGCCAAGCCACACAAATTATTGCATATAGCTAAGTTGACATGCTGTTCCTTCACACATATGAACTACTCGAACAATGGGATCCTCTGTCGTATTTCAAGGAAAAACATAGAAGTACTTGGAGCCCCCATTTTTCATGATACATTTACCGATTCTTTAGTATCGCTATACTTTCAAGTTCTTAGAGTTTATCTAAATAAGATTTACTGATTCTGACTTACTCTTTTAGAGAAGTGGTCAGTGGCGTGCTGGGGATGAGACTGCAATGGATGCAAAAGGTTGAAATGGTCGTTGTCATTGTCACTGGTGCTGTTATTGTTATTGCTATTGCTATTGATATTGATATTTTTATTTCTATTTCTATTGATATTATTATTATTATCGTTGTTATTGTTACTATCATTATGATTATTATCATTGTTATTATTGTTATTTATTGTTATTGCTTTTATTATTATTATCATTATTATTATTATTAATTTTATTATTATTGTTATTGCTGTTTATTATCATCATCATCATTATCATCATCGCCATCGTCGTTGTGTTCATCATCATCATTATCATCCTTATCATTACGACTATTATTTTCACTTTCATTATCGCCATCATTATCATTTTTATTATTTTAATCATTATCATTATTGTTGTTACTATTGTCATTATTTCTGTTATAATTATTATCACTATTATCATTATTATCATGATCATTATTACTCTTATAATCATCATGATTATTATTACTTTATAATTTTATTATTATTATTATTATTATTATATTATTATTATTATTATTATTATTATTATTACAATCATCATTATCATCATCATTAACATGATCAATATTATTGTTATTATTATTATTGGTTCTTATTACTAACATCATCATGTTTAATATTATTATTGTAATTATTATTATTATCATTATTATTATTATTATTATTATTATTATTATTATTATTATTATTATTATTATTATTATTATTATTATTATTATTATCATCATCATCATCGTTATTATTATTACTAGCATTATCATTATCATTATCATTAATATCATCATTATTATTATCATTATCATTATTATCAGCAGCAGCAGCATTATTATTACAATCATTATTCTTTTTTATTTACATTATAATGATTATATTTTTTATAATTGTTATCATTATTGTTATCATTATCATAATTACTGATATCACTATCATCATTATTTTAATCGTCATTACCATTATTTTTTTTATTTTTTTATTAGTAGTAACATTATTATTATCATTGTTATTATTCTAAATATAATTATCATTATTGTTATTACTAAATTTCCCTAATAATTGTTATTTCTACTATCATTATAATTTTTTTTTTCTGATACTATTCTCGTTTTGCAGTATATATGTAGTTACTACTATTGTCATCAATCATAATCATTGCGAAAGAGTTCCAACGATAGATGAAACTTAATAGCTTAGATTACTTCATGCACTTTTTCTAAAACATGAGATAGAAAGGAAGTGTTATGAATCTATTCAGTTATGCATTCACTTTTTAATTACAGTAATCTAACAGGTTTATATTGATTAAATCTTTCCAACAACAGTTGCCAATGTAAATAATCAAACAAGAAAAATATTACTGACGGAATCAAAAGGACGAAACAACACTGAACCAACATAATGCGAAAAGAAAAGAAATCCCAAAGTCTAGGAAAACAAGCCCAACAAAAATGCGAAATGCGAGTGAAAGAGAAACTGAGAAACGAGTAGATGTTTCGGAACTTTAACAATACTAAAAGAGTGAAGCAATATAGAGAAAAAACGGCGAGGAGATATCTCCAAATCTGGAGGAAGACAGATATTTAAAGGGTGAAGTGATGAGGTCTTAAATACGTTACAAAAGGAATGCAAGGAAGGAGATAGAGGGATGAAATCTGAAACCACACAATTGCCTCAGAAGCAACAGGAGCAGATGTGTTCCCAGGCCTTTGATATAATGGCCTGTCGCTGTTCCCGGAGACGTGATCTCAGTCAAGGGAAGGGAATAATACTACGAGGAGGAGATAGCATGAAAAAAAAAAAAACATACGTAAGACTTAAATGATTGTCTCATCTATTTTAGTGTCCGGATTACGGTAAACGCGGGAATTTCCGTGAAAATTTCCTCCGAATCCTAGAGGCATGGGGGCTCGCGTCCGACTTGAAGTCACAGGGTTCCTTGGAGAGCCCGCGTAACTTGGCCCTTGGGGCGGAGGTCCTCTAGAGTAGTTGGGATTGTGTGATGGGATTCCCCTGAAGTTAAATGGCTGCGGTCCCCTGAGAGTGTGTGATGCTGGTTCTCTTGGGGCTTGTGATGGGGTCCTCTTGGGCTTGTGGTGGGGTCCTCTTGGGGTGGTGGGGCCTCCTTTTGGGGCTTGTGGTGGGGGTCCTCTTGGGGCTTGTGGTGGGGGTCCCTCAAGACTCTGCGGCGGGGGTCCTCTTGTGTAGCCGTATCCCTGGTGGAGAGAGCCCTTGGGTTGCTGTGGTTGAGGTAAATGTCTTCCTCCATAGTGTTGCAAAGTCTGAGGTGAAGGACCACTTGAATCGGGAGGAGGGAAGTGGCGGTTGTGGCTGGGAACGTGCAGCTGAGGTTGCGAAAAAGCTGCAGACTTCAAAGGGTCATACTCGGGATTGAAAGCAGGATTTCGTATTTGTTCCTCCTTCATTGCCTGTTGAGAACTGAACGGCGCGTACCGTCTGACCTCCGACTTTGGCGTGAGGACATGAGAGGGTGAAACGGGGGGATAAGCCTTGCGTTCGTCTGTCGGCTTTTCGTAAGCCGAGTCCCGAGAAGGCCCTGCGCGGTAGCCGTTGGTAGAGGGCGCGGGCGGCTCGCTCTGGGGATTGACAGACGGCTGGGGCGGACGTATGCGTAGCGATCGGGGGCCGTTCACGAAGGGCGGCGGTCCAGTGATGTGGGTTACTTCGGGTCGATCTGTCAAAGGTTTCAAAGTGTTAGTATATGCGCAGTGAAAAGAAGATTTAGCAGTTGAACACCTAGAGTACAGCTATATGTCCTTGCAGGAAATATCTCGAAAAGTCTTTTTTGGAGCAAGATGAAGCAAATGATTAACTATTAGATTATATTCATATACAAAATTATTCACATACTCACGTGCACATATCAAAATGTACATACACAAAAAATAACAAACCTGCTGAAGTGCCGGTGTCCGCAGCGGGACCGGGCCGCGGCCTTCTTCTCCTTTGGCTCAGCCTCATGGATGCCCTGTGAACGGCCTGTCGAGATTCCCTGAAGGAAGAACGAATCCTGGTGGATGCTCGGCGATGGAACGGCATGCCAGGCGGAGGCTGTGGGTTCAGTCCTGGAGGAGACAGGCGATATCAAGTGTTTTCTCTCTTTCATCTCTATTACTGTATAAACAACGTTTTCAAAAGTCAAGAGAAATGGCTTTATGACTGGCAATCACTAATTCAAGGGGAATGTCCATTGCGTTTTTGCTATCTCACGATAACTGATTGTATGCTATATCACGATCCCTGTAATCGCTCATTTTAAGGATATACAGGTCATAGTAGGGAAAGACCAGACAAGGTGAGCCATCCTCTGCCGTCCTCTGTATGTCACGAACGTGCATCCTGTATGTGTATATATATATATAGTATATATATATATATATATATATATATATATATATATATATTATATATATATAATATTAATATATATATATATATTAATATATATATATAATTATATATAATATAGCGGTTATATATAATAATAGAGCACACCGACACACACACACACACACACACAACACACACACACCACCACACACAGACTCCAACACACACACCACAACCACACGCTGCACACAACAACATATAATAGTATAAGTTACATATATAAATAATTTATATATATATATTATAATATATAATATATATATATATAATATATATATTATAATAATTATATTATATATATCTTATCTATATATATATATATATTATATATAATAATAATATATGATATATATATTTAGATATATATATATCACTAATTGTTATATATATATAATATATATTAGTGAAATAACAAATATAAACATATATAGATATTAATAAATATACTATATAAGTAACTATATATATAATTAATATATATAATATATATACTTCATATATATATATAGATATATATTATATATATAATAATATAATATGAGCCGTATACGTATATATATAGTATATATATAGACTACCATATAACATATATATATACGCNTTACTTTCAATGAAGAGCACCTGTGTGACAATGAAACTCAGATTTCCATTGCATATGTGCAGTAGGAATCATAGTTATTATACTACATAGAATCTAGTATTTGCCCTAAGACTAACAATTTTTTTTAAGTTCATTTCACAAAAAAATATGAACAAATTTAGAAACAGTTATCTGATGCTTCTAGTGAGTCAGCAGGACAGAAAAGGCCTTCCCTTCCTTTCTACAGATAGTTTTTCACCACATAAAACATGTGGTGATTGGGTTGGGGTCCCTTGGCTAGGGAAATATGGCACTGAGGTGAGGGGCTGAAGTCAGTGTACCCAGCCATGATAACTAGGATGGGTTTCAGACTCAAAGTCCTCTGGTTAGGTAAGATTTTGGTTCATACAGATATATTTTTAGTAATTTGTGCATTTATAATGAGGTCTGCTCATTCATATATTCACTCACCATCGTATATAGTCTTCCATGGCCAAACATTGCATTTTTTCACTTTCTTTATCATCTATGATATGATTGTTGGCTCATGGTTTTCTGCCAGTTTACCACTAAACTTATACCCATAAGACAGTTTCCCTGGCAGCTTAGCATAAGCTCAAGTACTCGCTCTACCATCTTCAAGAATGTTAGCTAGCCTTCATATAACACAATGATGCCATCAAAATCACATGACACTATGCCACTAACAGGTTGGACTCAATAACTGAAGCTTTTCATGACAGATCACAGCAAATTTCAAGGGGATTTGGATTGGCTAACTCCAGAAATTGGTTTATTCACAAATAACCAAAATCTATTTTTCAAAAATTACAATCATACGTAATGTAATTGGGGCTAAAGATTAGAGAGACATAAATGACAAATATACATCTTTACCTAAAAAGACACTGGTACAAATTAATAAAAATAATTTCTAGTGTGCTAGAAGTGGGCGGTTTCCACTCTACCGGAACTGTCACTATCAGAACCATATTGTAAGACTCAAGGTTTTAATGAACCATTATTTGCGTTAAGCCTAAGGCCAAATTCTCAAAATGTAAGAAGGATATGTAGGGAATATCATACCTGTAAAACACATCGCTGCCAATTTGCGTCCAGTCAGAGATGAATGCCATAGTCAGTGTTGTTTACCACATGGCAAATGTGAGCGATAAGAAAGTCATCATTTCTAATTAATAATTTCGCAAAAAATATAATCTCTGGTTATTATGTTAAAAAGCAATTTAATAAAAAGGTATTTACTGCTTCAAAATCAAGAGCTGTGTAACTGTAATCTATATTTTGAAAATTCGAGGAATGATTACGTAGCATTACATTTGCCATGAGAGAGCATCAGCTGAGAGCTCACAGTCTCTGCGAGAGTCAATTTGATGTTTACTCCAAGGCAAAAGTAAGTGATAACTACGAGTTCATCCTTGTTGATATTTTGATTTATAGATATACATTTTGAATTAAAGATACAGAAAAACGTATCTATTAAACTTTTAGATAGTTTTGTTAAAAATACAATTTATAATAATATTCTATTGTTAATAATAGAAAGTTAATTACGTTGCATTATACTTGCCAGGATAGATCATCAGCTGAGAGCCTGTAACTCCGCCATATTGACTCAGTTACTGGAGGAGAAGGTTCACTCAAACTAAATTCCAATATGCAGGGCCTCACACTCGCTAGTTTGAAGAAGCATCCCGCTGTGAGTATATTCGAATGTATATTGTGTGTGTAGTTTGTGGTAATATGAGTAGATAGAGGTAGGTATTGGATCGTAAATGGATTCGAGAAAGGACTAGCAGAAACATGCCGGGTATGGTGTACGTGCAGGCAATGACGCAATGTTGATTTTGTAGTTGGTTAAGCATCTTGAGGCTCTGTAGTCGATTTAAACCTAGTTTTGCCTCATATTATGCAGCATATTTATATTTAAAGTATTAATTCGCAGAAAATTTGGAATTTTTTCTGTATGTATATATAGCGCTGTCCATAGAATGAAGAAATGCAGTACTATAAATAGGTCAGGCACTTTAAATTGATGTGAATTGAGGAAGACAGTGGCAGTGCTACTATTACTATGGCCAATTTTTCCATAGAAATGTTAATTGTGAAAATATATTTTTAAATACACAGATACAAACCTACATTTATTGGTTGGTGTCTGATTGTACAGCAGAAAAGCCCCCAATTGGTGTCATGACAAGCGTGGGGAAGCAAACAAGAGAAGACAGGAAAAGATGAGGTTATTTATACCATAAATAACAATTGTTACTTCCCAGACAAGATTTATCAGATTTATTCCTATGTGACGAGAACGACTGATGATCATTTCCGTAGCAATCACAGCTGACAATCTTGATGTGTTAAATCCTGATAGTAGGGGAGGTTATGAAGTATATCAAGGAAGTTATGGGGTAAAACAAGCTGAAATAAGGATAGATAACAGAAATGTGGAAAACTAGCACAAAAAGGGCCTAAAATCGGCCAATAAAATTATATGGACATGTCCTGCGTCGTTGAAAGTCTATGGACCGATACGCCAACTTTTAAAAAATATATAGGAATCTAACCCACCTTTTGGTAAATTCTGCAGGAATTCACACCACCCAATAGGTCCTGACTAATAAAGTAGCCTAATTCCATGTCACAAAACTTATTCAAGAATGTAAGTTGCTGTGACTAGGCATGCCTTTCAGGTACTGTCCGAGGGCCAGATTGCAGAGTTTGGTCTGCATGGGGAACGCATTTCCCACGCTCAAAAATTATTTGGTCAAATTCTGTCCGCGCAAATGTAGTTCTCAGATAACTTTCTGTCCATGATTAGTTCTCATTTAAATATTTTTTTTTTTTTTACCTTTCTGCGTACTTGTTTCATCATCCGTCTGCAGATTACCTCTGCACAGATAAACAATAGTTTCATATAATTAACCTGTTCGTTCTTCGTTTATTTTTGCTTGGTGCTTTGAAGTATTACTTTTTAAACATGTTGCAAATCATGTTTTATGCCTGGTATATAGATTGGCATTTGAGTTGATGACTTTCTTTTGACTAGTCTACGGAGAGAATTTGAAATATGAAAGTGAAAGTGAACGCCAATGCACCAATCAAGGATGCATAGAATTCAACTATGCTGCAGATCTCCTGCAAAGCATTACATGATTTCCACAAAGGCTCAGTTCTGTTAACTGAGTCCTAATACAATATTGATAACCCCTGTTACAATATTAACCCTATCTTCATGATAGGTATTTAAAAAATAATAATTATCAAATTTCCATGCATGAAAAAATGTAAGATGACCCCCCCCCCCCCCCTAGTTAGTTACTAAAATCCATTTCTTCTGCTAAGCCACTATATTGTGTTACAAAGGATCCGGAATTGACACAACACTGAAAACGAAAAATTACTCGCCGCAATTGTCAAAGAATGGTTGTCGTGAGGTATTGAAAGTCCCAGTGAAAAGCGCAAATGCACGTTAGGTTTTTGAAAGGAATACGGTAAAACTATCAAAACTCATTCAAAAAAAAAATTCAGTAAAGATAAAGGAATGCATAAAATACATGAATTAGGAAAATCAGACATTGAAATTTAGAAAATAATTGTCTTCACAAGTGTGTAGTAATACATAAACTACTTGAAAGATTGCAGGAATGAGTTAAGTGGTCATAATATTGAAAACATTCATGATGTAAACAAGTGGAGCAACTTAGAAAAAAGATGGGTCGATCTTCTCTTCTGTCATTTATCTCCTTTATTTTCGATTTCCACACCTCATGCCTTAGATGAAAAGTCTTAGTTTACGTTAAGGTAATGATTCCATACACTTTTTAAATTGTAACTCTGATTGTTATCCACTGTAAATTTACCAAAGGTGATACCACGATCAGTTAGGTTATGTTAGCTTCTTACTTTTTACCTGGAAATTACGTTTATATGGGAAGGCTGCCACCCCCAACTCCGCCCTGGAAAACCAAGAAGCCTCCACACATTCACAGCAGGGGCAAACCTACTGTCAAGAGGTATCCCCAGCAAGATGGAGCTAGAACTCGGGACCACAAAGTGGACTTAGGCTGTGAGCAGTGCTTTCCATTAATTTTTGCTTTATTTATGGCATTAACATTCATGTCTGCAGATTATTTTGGTAATTTTATGCAGCACCTTTGCATAACCAATCATGACTTATTTTGGTATCAATGGATTTGTTTCCTCTTCTTGTACACATGTGTAGAAATTGTGCCGCAGAACCCCCTAACCCATCAGCAACGGGTAAAAATTTTGTCAAGTTTACATATGCACCGG